CCCTGTTGTAGAGGTCTCAGTCCTCATTTGTTAGACTTACCTGTCTTTATAAATGTAACTTACTCTCTCTTTCTTTTTCTCTCTCTCTCTCTCTCTCTCTCTCTCTCTCTCTCTCTCTTTCTCTCTCTCTTTTGCTGTTAGGAATGTGCAGCTACTTTCCATTATCTTGGACCAATAATGAAGCCGCTGGTCAATCAGGTGCAAGGTGGCATTGAACCAGTAATTGTCTTCAGGTCTGAGCATGTTCCAAATGGGTGTTTTCTAGGTTTTATTTTGTTGTTGTTGTTGTTGTTGCTGCTGCTGCTGCTGCTGCTGCTGTTGTTGTTGTTGTTGTTGTCGTCGTCGTCGTTGTCGTCTTCCTGGGCGGCTTGATCTGTGCTCTCATTGTTATAGTCCTCATGTACATTACAGCATCTCGTACAGATGTACGCATTCCCCGGTAGGTGTGTGCATGCACGGTTGGGTGTTCATTGTGTGCTATACATGAAGATGCGCATTTGACCAATTTAGCCCAATACTTAGTGGCAGACAGTCGCTTTTCCAGCTACATCAGTTTGGATAGAGCTAATGACCAGCTAGATCTTTGTCGGGAAAAAGTTGTTGCATGAAATGCCTGAAGGGAACGTTTCGTAATCGAAAATACAGAAATCACAACAGGGTCCTGTACATTCAACATCGAACTGGGTCTACGGGATTCTACGGTTTTTCTTACGTGACGTCAATGTGCATATGGCTTCTTGTTGTCATGGGTTTTGACTTTGCCGACGGGTCTCTCGTTTTTGCTTGTACACCGGACACGGAGCGCTTAGAAAGTGATATTGTCGTGACAACTGTTTCAGGGAGAAGACGATGAATGCATGCAAACACAGGACACATCGCAAAGCAATTGGCAACATGGGCGAGGAGGGAAATGAAAAAGCTCGAAACAGCACTTGCATATAAGTTGACAGTCTAGAACGAGTGGTTAATAATAATAGTTACAGTTCGCATGTCACTCATGGAAGGATCCATGGGCTTAACGCATCTGTCAACGAAATCCAGGCAGAAGAGCCGACAAAAGGCATCTCATTATTGTTAGAACGTATCGCAGCAAGAACAACTACGCAAGCGCAGCACATTTTTCCACAAGCATCAGCCATTCTTTCTTGTCTAGAGCCAGTTCAAAACAGTCAGAAATATCAATATTGGCGTGCTTTAGATCACTTTTAATATTGTCAATCCATCTGAGATGGGGTCGGCCACGTGGGCGCTTGATGTCCCGGGTATTAATTGCCATCTCCAGTGCTTGGTAGGACGCTGAGTTACGTCCTTCGCGAACAACATGGCCCAGCCAGAGCAGCCGACGTCTGCGACAGGTAGTGCTGACTGGGCCTTGTCGCGTTGAGGCGTACACCTTGGCATTCGACATGTGGTGAGGGTACACCACACCAAGCAGGTACCGCAATTTTCTGCGGTGCCATGCGTCCAGCCGATTACTGAGTTGCTGTGTCAGGGCCCACAGTCCGCAGTTATACAACAGGATAGGCAAAATGAGGGCAGAGAACATACAAAGTCTGGAGCTCAGTTTATGACGCTTCCACGAAATGGAGCCGAACGCTCTATTCGCAGCACCTATTCTTGCCTGAATATCCTCTGCGGACCCCAACAAAGAGCCAAGCAGCTTGACAGATCGCCAAGAGGAGTCGGCTTTAGTTACTGTAATATATTGTGTTTTCTGAATATTTAACATTAGGTTATCTTCTTTGAATTTTTCACTTGATTTCTCCACAATCTCCTCGACTTCTCGCCTCTCCGTGTCATGGATTGTTGTGTCGTCTGCATATTGGGTGGTTGGTGCTGGTAAAGATAAGTGCGATAGTATAGGATCAAGGTGGCGCATGGCTCCCTCAGCATACACATTGTACATGATGGGAGACAGCGGATCCCCCTGCACTACTCCGATATTTGTAGCAAACGCTTTGCCTAAATGAGAACTGAGTTTCACTCTCACCGTCGTGTCCGAGATCAGAGTGGCAACGACATCAGTGGCAGCTCCAGAGTCTGAAAATCGCGCCAACGCCTTCTCACGGACAATGGTATCAAATGCTCCGCTGAAGTCTAATAGTGCGGCAGAGTATTTCCAGTCACCGAGTAGTGCACGTTCGCACATGACACGCGTATAGAAAACTCCGTCAGCCGTGGAGCGTCCGGGTGTAAAGCCTGCCTGACTTTCACGTACATATGAGGTGGTAGATTGTTGTGAACGCATGGTGATGATGCGGGTCAGCACCTTGCGAACAACTGATAGCAGCATGACCGGTCTGTAACTTTTCGGTGCACCCATAGGTTTTCCTCGTTTGTATACTGGCACCAGAAGGCCACATCTAAGGTCAGGTGGGCAATAGTGGAGTTCCTTAATGGAGTTGAATAGGGTAGTCAGCCATGGAGTAATGACAGTCGAAGCCGTACGTAGCAGTGCCGCACTGATCCCATCACATCCAACAGCGCCTCCGATTTTCTGGTGCATGATGGCCTTCCTAATCTCTTCAGAGGTAAATGGTTCGTCTTTCGCCTTACTGTTAGGCTGTGCCGGGAAAAGCGTTGGCTGGTCGCTCCGGTAAAACACTGATGCGAAATACTTGCTGAATTCCTCCAAATTCCAATTTACATTTGTGACATTTTCACCACTATCATTTGCGAGTCGTACTGGGGAAGGTTTGTCAGGATTTCGAAGTGCTTTTAGCTGTTTGATGGCATTGAAGTACGATCTTGCATCCGGTCGTAATGCGTCCACTGCCTCCGCTTTGTGCTGCCAATATAAGTCACCTTCGTTTCTGAGTAATGCTCGGATACGGTGAAGGATCTTGTTTCTACTTTGTGTTAGTTCTTTCCGCTTGTTCGGATCTTTTTCCATATGTATCCGGCTGTGA